TTTAATCCTAGCTCTGAGGAGGTGATGATAGGAGGGTCCTTGGGGCTTGCTGGCCAGCCAGCCTTGCCTAATCAGTGAGACTTGGGCTCCAGTAAAGGACCCTGGGTCAAAAGCCAAGATGGATGGCTCCAGAGGAACAATACCTGAGGTTGACCTCTGGCCTCCAAGCACACAACACAGACATGTTTATTCATAAGAACACACACACACACGGTCAGGGGAAGGGAGGGAGGAAGAAAGAGAGAGAGGGAGAAAAGGGGGAGAGAGGGATAAAGGAAGGAAGGGAGGGAGGAAGAGGAAGAAGGGAGAGTCAGAAAGTCTGAGAATGCAGAGAGAACATATTAGCCTCCGCTGGTACTTCCCAGAATGTCATGCTGCTCCAACTTTGCCAGCCCGTAAATGAAAGCCAAATACCTAGTTCCTCTTGCTTTCTGTGTATGCTCCCCAAGTCAACTCCCCAAGGATCACAAGGCAAAGACAGATACTGTTAGAGGTCCAAGAACCAAATTATGGCCCAGACATGGGGAACAGTTCTACAAGGCCAGGGGTACACAGAGCTGTCCTCAACATCAACTCTGTGACAGCTACAGTGCTTCACCCCTACACTCCTACGTGTACAAGGTTCCTTCTTCTGACCTCTATGCTTTTGTGGCCTGGGAAGTCCAGAACACCAGATGGGGAGGGTGCATGCTCTCCAAGACCAATATGTGCTCCTGAATGAATAAGTCGGAGAATAATCTCTCAATATCCTGCTATGAAGCACAATTTAGCCCTTAGACCTCTGACACTGTACTCCTATACCTCGTCGTGGCTGGGTAGCTGACTCTAAGAACATCCATAGAAGACAAGGAGAACTAGGGATCTGCGTGTTTCATTTAGGAGCTGGGAAGTTCCATCTTGGAGATACACATACTTGAGAGTCCAATTCTGCCACAGAAACCAGCTAACAGAAAACTTGGATCTGATCATTGACTTCTCTAAGAGTCTTCCTCTAAAATGGCAGTGATTTTACAAATAAATCTGCTGTGGAAACAAAAACAGGTGTAGCTCAGTGGTTGAGAGCAGGTGTAAGGTCCTGAGTTCAACTCCCAGCTCTGCACAGACAAAAAACAAAGCAACCAACTAAACAAATAAACCAAAAGTTATGTCAGGAGCTGAAGAAAAAGCCTCTGGTTCATAGTATTTATACCACTGATAATGGCTTGTTTTCCACTGTCAAATCAACACTACCTCTGGAAAAATCCACCCATGAGATATATTGCTTACACAATGCTGAACAAACATGGATGGAGATCTTCCTCTCTGAAGCCCTCTTGAAAAATCAGTTACTCTTTGCTGGGCGGTAGGGCACACCCAGGAAAAGGCAGGTAGATCTCTGAGTTCAAGAACAGCCTGGTCTACAGAGCAAGTTCCAGGACAGCCAAGGCTACACAGAGAAGCCTTGTTTTGAAAAATCAAAAGAAAAAATCAGTTATTCAAAATATTACTTGCTACCTGATGCCAGACATGTTACAATAGTGTGAGGTGGGTTATAAAATTATTGGGCAGCTGGCTATAGTCACAAAGACACTGTCATATCAGCAATGGTCCCACATCTGTTTGCCATGATAGGCAATAGTTTTGTAGTTGGTGGCTCTCATCCATCCTACATTTTTTTTCTTCCTAATTTCAATCATCAGTTGTGACTGTTTTCAACTCTGTTTGTTTGGTTTGGTTTAGTTTGGTTTGGTTTTTGAGACAGGATTTCACTGTGTAGTTCTGGCTGTCCTGGAGCTCACTATGTAGACCAGGCTCACAGAGATCCGCCAGTCTCTGCTCCAGAGTGTTCAAATTAAAATCATGTGCCATCACCCTGGCTCTTTTATGCTCTTGACTGCAGAGTGTGGGGCCCAGAGATCCCTATCCATGGCCTGCCTGGAATGGAATTAACAAGATCTCTGTGTTGTTGTTTCAAGCTTTCCTTGTCAGAGTTAAATATTGCTGGGATCACAAAAAGATGAAAAACCATAGCCTCTTAGTTTTGGTGCAGGTGGAGTGGGCAGTGAGTCTGGGCCAAAGTTGGTGAACCTTTTTTTCTGGGAAGAAGGCTGCTAGCTTCCCTTCCTGATTTCCCTTGTTCAAATAACACGTACAAGTCTCAGTCAGAGGAGATAATTACTAGAAAATACATCTAGCAGCCATTACTGGCTGAGTCACTGCTGCACTCCAGCAGATGTTGCCATGGTTTCAAGGCTGAATCTTCCTCCTCTCTGCTCCCTCTGCCCTCTATTCAGTTAATTTGTCATTTTGCTTCACACTCCTGCACAGTCGGTCTCCACAGATTGATGCACACTTAACCCTGTATGGAAGCTGGCTTTTTTGTTGCTTCTTTTTCAGATAACACTGCCCTTTTCTTTTTCATTTTTTTTTTTTTGAGATAGGCTCTCATGTAGCCAAGGCTGGACTTGAATTTCTTATGTCCCTGCATTTTATCCCCCAAGTGCTGAGAATATAGGCATATGCTACTATATCTGCCTATTGCCTTTTTCTTGAATTAAAAAAATACACATCAAGAGATATAAAAGAGCATCTTAACAGAAGAAAATGAAAGCCATAAATTCACACTTTAAAATACTGCAATTTTTACCATTTTCCCACCCAGTATTTCATAGTTGACAACATATATAGTTGTTTTTTAAGATAGGATCTCATAGCCCAGGCTAGCTGAGCATGGTCTTGAACTTCTGATCCTTCTGCCTCCACTTCTCAAGTCCAGGGATCATAGGTATATGCCACCACATCCACTTTTACATGGTGCTTAGAATCAAGCCCAGGCCTTAATTCATGCTAGGCAAGCACTCTACTGAGCTATATCCTCAGCTCTAGTACATGATTGTATGTCTAGTTGAAACTGCAGTGGACATTCTTTTTCGGGACCTATTGGTTTTGAGGCACTGCTTTTGACAAATCCAGTCATACACACAGGCTTCATTATTGTATATGTAGCTGTGATTGTCTACTGCAATACGTGTAAGTTTCATAATGGCACAGGCCAGGCGCAGCATCACCCATTTACTTTGGTTCTTTGTCATGTCCTGTAGATGTGTAGGTGTATGTTCATATACAAGTGTGTAGCATGCATATGGAGGCTATAAGTCAACCTTGAGTCATTTCTCAAGAGTTCCCCACTTGCTGGGTGTTGGAGGCTCACACAGTTAATCCCAGTACTTAGGAGGCAGAGGCAGGTGGATCTGAGTTCGAGGCCAGCCTGGTCTACAGAGCTAGTTCCAGGAGAGGCTCCAAAGCTACAATGCTAGAGAAACTCTGTCTCAAAAGAAAAAAAAAAACTCCATTCTTCTGAAGTCAAGTCTCTCACTGGGACCTGGGACTTTCAGATGAACTAGTGACCTTTCTGTGACAATCTCCTCAGAGCTGAACTGAGATTATGAGCACACACCATGTCCCTTATTTAACATTGCTTCTGGGGATTAAAAACATGTCCTCATGCTTTTATGCCATGCACTTTAGTGATCTATGTGTAAGCATTTCAGTGGCTTGGATCAGATGTGGCTTCTGGCACTCAGGGTTCATAGAATATTGAGTATTACAGCTCAGATAGAAAGGAATTCTGGCACTTGGGAGCCAAGGAATACCACAGGTCACACACAGTAAGGGTACAGCCTTGCTTCAGGGAAAGGCTTCCCCAGTGTATCAACTCTACTCCAGCAGAGGATGGTTTCCTCAGCTAGAAAGGTTTCCCAAGTGTATCAGCTCTGCTCAGGCGGGAGAAGGCTTCTCCTTTATGTTAACAGCTCTGCTCTGGCAGGAGAGGGTTTCCCTGCTTGGCTCTGGTCCCCGCAAAAGCATGGTGTTACACAACTCTGCTTCTTCAGTGGAAGGTTTCCCAGGCGAAATGTGCTACAGCCCTGCTGCACTCCACCCAGGGTCAGGTCATCTCTGCTCAGGCGAAGACTCAAGGAGAGTGGCTGCCTCAACCACGGTGACAGAGGACTACCATACAGCCCGACAGCCACAAGCTGAAGAGACACATGGCTTATATTCGGGAGATTTCCAGGGCGGGGATTGGCCAGGTTTCAATCCCTGAGCTCAGATTGGCTAGATCTACCGCTCAGGGATTGGTTAGTTTTCTGCACAGGTTTAGGGTCAGATTTGGCTCTGGTTTCAGGTCCAAAGTGTGTTTCTTTCACTGGTCCTTTATCCTTTTGGCTCTAACTTTAGGACCAGGATGCATTTCTTTCACTGGCTGGGATTTCAGGACCAAAGTGTGTTTCTTTGGCACTGGTTTCAGGGTCAGGGTGCATTTCTTTGGTTCTGGTTGCAGGGACGAAGTGTGTTCCTTTGGCTGTGCTCGGGGAGCATTTCTTTGGCTGGCCCTTTATTCCTTACACTATGTCCAGAGCCTGGTTTGAGCTCCCTCCCCTCTTTTTGTTTTGTTTTGTCTCAACAGATTCTGGCTGTGTGGCCCAGGCTGACCTCAAACTTTCCATCTCCCTAGTGCTAGGATTACAGGTGTGTATCACTATGTCCAGCTTTCATAATGACTTCTTCTACAGGCAATGGGATGACACAGGCTTAAAAAAATTCCTGTCAAATACTGCTGTAATAATAATAATAATAATAACAACAACAACAACCAAGAGTAGGCCTGTGTTGGCGAGACGACTGGAGAAAGAGCCCATCACCTCAGCTCTCCCTGCTTTTCCTTTGTTTGGCGTCCCCAGGGTATTAGCAAGAGCCCACGCCAAAGGACTGCAGTGGACTAAGGCTCGCACTGCGCATGCGCAGAGGAAGGCGCGCACATAGCTCAGAGCGGGTGCAGCTGAGGGCGTAAGCAAAGAATGAGGAACACAGAGGCGGGGCTTTCTCGCCTCCGCGCAGCCTTTGTCTCCGCCTCTACGCAATGCTTCGGGTTCTTTATTGGTTAAACATCTCCAGTTCTCAACGTTCAAGGAACCAAAGGACTGGGGCTGCCCCAAGCTATGCCTGCTTCCGGAGTCGCGGCAGAAATGGCTAATTTCGAAGTTTCTTTCAGGCATTGTCTAGAACATACCTTAGGGGCCTGAAGGGGCCCTTTTCTAGCACCGGAACAGTGCAGCGTTCTACGGCAAGCTTTAGAGATGCCGCCGAAGGGAAAAAGTGGTTCTGGAAAAGGGGGGAAAGGTAGAGCGGCCGAATCGATCAGGGAGCGTGGGGTGGGTGAGGAGAAGGGCGGGAGTAGACCGGCAGCTATCGGGGTCATACGCCTGGCAGTAGGTGACCAGGGGCCCCCAGAGCCGCTATGGTTTATGTTTGGGGTTCTTCCGGTAAATCAAAAATTATAAATGCGCTTGGTGCTACTGTGGTTCCGGGAACACATGGGATTTCAGTGTAGGGACCATCGTGGCGGGTAATAGCTGATGGGGATGGTTCCTCGCGACCTGGAACTGCTATTTTAAGGGAGTTTATTACCACCAAAATTTAAGCTGAAAAAACGCCATCAATAAAAGGAAGCCCACGATAGTGGTCTGTACAGGCCTTTTAAACAACTAACATTATGACGTACTCCTCCCACCCGCATTGAGGAAGACGAAGGTTGGGCACACCGCTGTGCTTTAAGGCTAGAAAAATAAGACACAGCTCTTACTCTTCGTCATCCCTGGAAGTAGTGGGGAAGCTAGTAGCAGGAAAGTACTGTACTGAATTCAGTGTTGAGAGATAGGCATATTATAGAAGATGGAAAGAGGGTGAGGAAATGACCTAGAGATACTTCAAGCAGGCCAAGATAAGCAGCAGCTCTAGGGTAAAGCATACTCGACCCGGAGAGTCCAGCCACAAAAGCACTGACGGGAGATAGACAAATTATTGAGTGGGGAAAATTAAAGCAGAAGACTAAATCATTGGGAGTGCTGTATATGATGTTAATTAAGGTCAGTTAAGGGCCAGAAACCCCTTTAAAGAGGCCATTTCAGTAGTTCTTGGAAAGAGATGGAGGTGGCCTGGATTCTCCAGTTGTGGGAACCCAGAGAAGAGAAAAAGGGGGTGCACTAGAGTGAAATCCCAGAGGCCCACATGACCAAGGTGTTTTCAAGAAAGAATGGGTGAGGTGCCACAAACCCATGCCACAGCGCTTGGGAGACTGAGGTAGGAGGATGAGTTTGAGGTCAACTGAAGTACATAGAGACCCTGTCTCAAAACAAACCAGAATAAATATGAAAATAGAATGATACGTGGGGAGTCAAGGGCCAGGAGAAAGTTGATCCCCCTATTTTGGAGATCATCTTTATTGTCCTTCTTTGGGTAGTTAGCTTCTGATTATCCATCACACATTCCCTGACTAACTAAAATGTTTGTGCGTTTCCAAATTCCCCTTCCACAATTTTCCACCTGTTGGATTCTCAACAAGTGATCAGTCTATCTCACTGGAATGTGAGTTCCTTGATGGCATCTATGAATCCTATTTACCTTGTACCCCCAAGACCTGGGACTTAGGAATTATTTAGGAAATATTTGCTAAACTGACTACTTAATCTAGGAGTAGCTCTTAGACATCTTGGCCTCACACACACACACACACACACACACAGAGAGAGAGAGAGAGAGAGAGAAATAAGATGTGTGCTTCCAGTGCTTGATAACCCAAATGTCAAAACTTTCCAGGAGGACATCAGAGGCACTGTGGTAGACTGCAAAAATTTAGGCATAAGTACATTCTTTAGGCATATATAATTTGTAGTAGCTTCATTCTTGGAGATTTTGTATATTAGAATTGCAAATGTCAAACACTGTTATAGAACATAGTAGAAATTATATAATTTTATATAATGTCAGTACTTAGTGTTCTGCCATTAGAAGGCAAGATTTGGGATGGGGTTGGGAGAATCTGGACCAGGCTTCTGGAACTCATTCATCATTGCCACATTTATTTCTTTATTTTCTGTGAAATGTTTTGTAGGGCACATTTCCTGTTATTAGAGATGAGTCATAGAGTAAGTTAACTTGATTGTGTGACTCACCCACTGTGTAGCCTTTTGGAGCTTGGGGTTGTAATGGAAAGATCACCTTGTATTATGAGTTGGACCTATCTATAAATGTCAAAGTACATTTGAAATGAGTACCTGTCCTCTCTTTTCTAAAGGAGGTGCAGCCTCTGGGAGTGACAGTGCTGACAAGAAGGCTCAGGGCCCTAAAGGTGGTGGCAATGCAGTAAAGGTGAGTTATCACATGTATGTGTGGATGTATATAAAAGGCAGTGTGAGTAACTTGTTCTTATATAAGAGGCTTAACACTAAGGTGAAGACAAGATGATATCAGACTGGAAACCAAAGACCAGTCTTTTTGTTGTTTTGTTTTTCTTTTTTTGCCAAGAGAACAAGACATTATTGACTTTTAATGTACCAAGCCAAAATTGCCAACTGAACATTAACATTAAAAATTATTTTAAACATTAGCTAAAAGCTGGGGATTGGGGAGGTGGTTCAGTCTAACAGGGCCCTGGTTCAATTCTAGTCCCCACATCCAGAAGATCAGATTCTGGATTCTGAACACTAATGCTGCAGACACCATAAACAACTCAAATGTTAAACTCTGGCTGAGACTGGCCAGGACCAGGTTTCAGGTGTTCTCACCAGCCCCAAGAAACCTGGAGTTCCCAGGGTAGCTGGAACTTGCATTAGCTCTCAACCACCTAATGTCTGAACACCGAGTGAGCACTCGGGTCTAGAAAAGGACCTGAAGGCTTTTCAGGGACAGAGGTCTGTGAGTGGTGCTCCCAGGAGGGTTTGTTGTTGTTGTTGTTCAAGACAAGGTTTCTGTGTGTAACAACCCTGGCTCTCCTGGAACTTGCTCTGTAGATCAGGCTGGCCTTGAGCTCACAGAGATCTGCCTGCCTCTGCTTCCCAAGTGCTGGGATTAAAGGTGTGTACCATCACTGCCCAGTTCAGTCTTACTTTAAAAACTAGAATTTTTCACACTTTTAGCACTATTTTTTGAAATATATAACTTGGGTACTGGGATGATAGCAGAACCCATATAAAAAAGTGGGGGATAGTGACACACACTTAAAATTTCAGCGCTGGCTAGCTAACCAGCCTAGCACAATTGATGAGCTCCAATCCAGTGAAAGACCCTATCCAAAATAAGAAAAGGGTAGATGGCATCTTAGAAAGGGTTATCTTCTGGACTACACATGCACACATGCACACCAATTTGTTAACTTGACCATGCAAATGTCAGTGGAGGTAAGTCAGCAAGTAGTTACTTACAAAAGCACTTAATCACCCAATCCCAGAGAAGTGTCTGCAAACAGAACTATACTACTATAGCAATGTAACAAGGAGTTTCCATGTTTGGGTCAGGATACAGGAAGTTTAAAAATAGATTTCATTGCCTCTGCCTACAAATTCAACCATATACAGAAAGCATAAAAGGAAGAGAGAAGAAGAGGGGACAAAATGTGACCTGACCTGTTCTGCTTTTCTGGGCTCGTTCTGGGTATTTTGGATGCAGGCATGTCTGTACCATGTATGTGCAGGATGCAGGTATGTCTGTACTGTGTGTGTGCAGTGCCCACATATGCCAGAAGAAAGTGTTGGTTCCTCTGGAACTGGAATTACAGATGGTTGTGAACCACCAATGTGGATGCTGGGAACCGAACCCAGGTCCTCTGCAGGAGCAGCAGGTGCTCTTAACCACTGAGCCATCTCTTCACCCCTGTTCTGTCCTTGTGTGAGTATTAAACTTTGTCAGATGGGATTCTGTTGCCCCAAGGAGAGTTTTCCTAAAGCTTGGTGTAGCCCAGCTTGTGTTCAACTGTAGAGGTGGTCATTGTTACAGCATCTGGCTTTGTTGGGCTTCATGAGAGCTGGCATATTGGTCTCTAGCATGGCATCTTCAAAAAGGATACTCTAGGGTCATTTGGGCTATGTGCATTCTTCACTGAATGTGCTGACTATCCAAGTACCCAACCTGTGAGACTACTTCAGTGCATATAGCTTTAAGTAACCATCCTGTCCTCTGTTGAAGAACCAAGTCCAGTGTGGCTATATGGGAGATACATGAAAAGGAGTGTCATGTAATTAGATAGGAGAGTAGATTGGGATTAAAATTTTATTAAGCGTTTTGTTTAATGCCTGTATCTTTTATCCTAATTCCTTCAAGAGTATCATCTTCTAAAATCATAGTTCAATAGCACAGTGAGAATATTGACATTGATACAGAACATTGAGCCACACCCTAAGCCTGCCATCTTACATAAAGGCCACTCCTGCTGCCCTTTATAACTAGGCCCCCCCTCCCTTCTGCCTCTACTTCTATCCCCCCCAACACACATACTTTTTTCTTTTTGAGACAGAATCTTCTTTAGCCCAGGCTGGCTTCAAATTCATTATGTAGCAAAGGATGACCTTGAATTTCTGATCATCTTGTCTCCACCTCCAAAATGCTGGAATTGTAAGTTTCTACCCTGTCCCTCGTTTTTCTACCCCATCTTTTGTGTTGTTTATTTGAGACAGGATCTCACTGTGTATCCCTGGCTGTCCTGGAACTTTTGAGGCTGGCCTCAAACTCACCAAGATCTGCCTGCCTCTGCCTCCAAAGTCCTGGGATTAAAGGTGTGCGCCACTGTGCCCCATGGGTTTCTACCCCCATTTTAATTGAAAGCAGCAACTAATCTGCTCTCTACTCATGTGCTTTAGTAATTTCAAGAATGTTAAATGGATGGAATCATATAGTTTGTGACCTTTGTTAGGGAGCTGTTTTTTGCTCAGTGTAATTTTCTGGTGGTTTCATTCAGACTGTTGTGATAGTAGTTTCTTGCTGTGTGTTCCTGAGTTCTGTTTCATGATATGGAAGTGATACATCTGTTTGAGCATTTATCTGCTAAAGGATGTCTGGGTTTCTGACACCCCTGTGCTCATATGCTGCTGCTCCTGTGTCACTAAGAGCTGAATCTAAGTCACCCCTGCTCCTGTCCCCCATCTGTTCTCATAGGTTTCAGGTTCTTGTCCTGCTCCCCTGCGCCTCCTAGGCCATGTGTTCTGTCCTCCCCATCTCCTCGGAAATGGAAATGCCTCTCAGGGTTTCCTACTCACACTGAAGAGCCCTGACTGCTTTCTCACATACCCTGCCAGACCTCAACTTGGAGTCAGTCCAGTAGGACCACTTTCTCTGCACTAGAACACAAACTGCTAGGACCTGTTAGGGAGACTCAGTCTTGGTGAGGGGAACCCCAACTGTTATTTGTGACCTTAGCATGGCACTCAGTGCTGCTCAGCAGCTGTTTCCCATTTCCTTCAAGCTACACAGCACTGGTGGCACTGCAGTCACCAGGTAACTTGGGCCAGTGCCTCTCAACCTGTATGTTCAGGGCTGAGCTCATCACACACATGGAAAGTTCAATTCTCCAGCGAGCATGAGCGCCTCAGGTCCTCTGCATTAGGTTCTCTGGGCCCCATTGGGGCCTGGACCTGAATGTCCTTCTTAAGAAGCTTGGAAGCTTTTGCAAATGTGCTGCTAGAGTTAAGCAAACACCAGTCTAGTGTCAGGGCTTGCTGTGAGGACTTAATGAGATCATTCGTGTAAAGCACTTAGCACTTCAAAGTTGTCTTGACTGTGTGGCTTTAATTCAAGGACATAGAAAAGAATAAAGGGCTAATAGTATAATTGGACTGAGCATCTGTCTTTGAAAAAGGGCTATTTTCAGAAATCTTGAATTCAAGTAACCTGGATAGAGAGCAAAGGAATCGAAATCCCTTAAATAATAATTTACTGATTTCACAATAAGAAATTATATTTTCATAATATTTTATAATAAATTACTTAGTCATTAATTGACTTAGTTTGAGAACTAGTTTCATTGTTATCTATTTAATAATTTACCAATTAATTAGTAATATTTTCACAAGGAACAGAACGCCCTAATCTTCAGCCCTTATCAACGGTTATTTTCCTTGGTTCCCCAGTGGATTATATCCCCATCATCTCCTCTGTCTTCTCCCTCTGTTTCTCGTTTATTTAGAGACAAGACCTAATGCTGTAGCTTAGGCTGGCCTTGAACTTATGTAGCTAAGATTGGTCTAGAACTCAGGATCTTCCTTCCTCAGCCTCTGAGGAGCTGGGTTTATGGTATACCACCATGATCAGTGAGAGAGGCAGTCTGTAAGTGGTAGTTAAGTCCTATTGAAATCTGAGCCATTCTTGTCCTCCAGCAGGCTATCCCTTTCCTGTCCAGATTGTATACCTATCTCTAGATAGGACTAGACACATTCTATACAAGGTGATTGCCACCAGTCCTTATTACCTGAATTCAGTCCCTAGGATCCACATGGTAGAAGGAAAAACTGGCTCCTGCAATTGTCTTCCACCTCCTCATGAGTATTATGACATATATATATACATACAAAATCACACAAACATGTAAAAATCAATAAATGGATTAAGTTTTTTTGAAAGGGTATTTGTTGAGCTGGAGAGATGGCTTTGTGATTAAGGGTATGTATTGCTGTTTTGGAAGACCTGAGTTCAGTTCCCAGCACCCAAGTCAGATGGCTCCCAACTAACTGTAACTCCAGTTCCAAGGGAATTTGATACCTCTGGCCTTTGCAGGAATCTATGTGCACATGCACAAACCGACCCACATAGATACATAACTTAAGTAAATCTTAAAGAAGTTTGTCTATCTAAGCCATTTTTTTACATTTATGTACTTTGTTTTTGTGAGTGTGTTCATGCTTGTGTGTATCCATGCATACCATGGCACATATGTGAAGATCAAATGACACCTTGGAATTGGTCCTTCCTTTTCACCATGTAAGTTCTAGAGATCTAACTCAGGTCATCAGGCTTGGCAACAAGAGCCCTTACTCACTGAGCCATCTCACTGACTGACCCTCTAGGCTCTGGTTTTTATGTGTTTGTAGCTCCTAGACAGCATCCCTGGGCTAAGGACACTCTAGACTCATTTTACCCCAAATTTCAATAGTTAACCCTAATGATACTTGTCTCTAAATAATAAGGGAGAAACTGGATAGAATGGGATATTCCTATAATCCCCGAACTTGGAAGAAACAGGAGGATCAGGAGTTCAAGGTCATCCTCGGCTACATATTGAGTTCATGACCATCTCAGAGAGCAAGGAAGTATTTCCAAGAAGGATTTCCCCCCACTCTGATTAAAATAGACAATAGTTTGTTGAATGCTACTTATGTAGCTCCCTTCATAATCCCATGAGGGATACCCTTGGAGGCTTAAAAGCATGCCCAAGGTCACACAACAGCTGCAATTGGACTCTGGGACCCAAACACTCAACCATTACATTTCCTCTTCCAGATACCACTGAAGTATGTGGAGAAAGGTGGGAGATTCCCACAAGCAGCTGCCCACTTTCCATCTAAATCAGGGTCCTGAGATAATGCTTGATAGAGAAATGGGTTTGTGGCAGTCATCCAAGTGGGCAATGTTCAATGATATGAATTAATGTGTTGTTTTGTACTTGTCTGGGATAATTCAGATGTGACTCTTATACCAAGAAGAATCAGTTTCCTCTCCAAGTACTAACTGGACATGCTTTTGTCTTGTAGGTCAGACATATTCTATGTGAAAAACATGGCAAAATCATGGAAGCCATGGAAAAGTTAAAGTCTGGAATGAGATTCAGTGAAGTAGCCACACAATATAGTGAAGATAAAGCCAGACAAGGGGTATGTTGCGCTTATCATTTAAATGTTCTGTTGTCATGCTAGGGGTATAAGGTAGCCTGCATAAAACCCTGAGTTTGAGCCCCAGCATTGCAAAAATAAAAAATAAAAAGTTTCCCCACAAAGAAAATATAAAAGCAGGAATTATTTTCTACGTTGTATCATGAATTGTAGCCATATCTTTGTTTCAAGAAAAGTAGAAGTGTCTAGCTTGCAAGGCTAAGGATGTAGCTACATAGTATAACATTTGTGTGGCATGTGTGAAGCCCAGGGTTTGATTCCTATTTCCACCTATTCCAACTTATGAGCAGTTGCATAAGAATCATCTATGTTGGAGGGGAGGTAACAGGAAGGGGATATGGGGAAGAGAGAATATGTTCAAAGTACAATATATACTTTTGAGTGAGACATGTCCTTGTGAAGCCAAGGACACAGAGTCACCTATGTCTAAGTGTAGGCGTGCCTAGCCTTTCACAGAACACTTCAAAATACAGCAGTATCATGAGCACTTGTGCTCCATTCATTCTTAGACTTCTTCCTCCCATTAGTCTCTGGTGAGACAGCTCTTACGTAGCCCAGATGAATAAACACAACCCAGTGACCATTGTATTCATATTGGGAAAACCCTCAGAAGGTACAGTTCACTTTTTAAGGCCTCGTCTCTTGTCTTTTGGAATTTTTCAGGGTGACCTGGGTTGGATGACCAGAGGGTCCATGGTAGGACCATTTCAAGAAGCAGCATTTGCCTTGCCTGTAAGTGGGATGGATAAGCCTGTATTTACGGACCCACCGGTTAAAACAAAATTTGGCTATCATATTATTATGGTTGAAGGGAGAAAATAAAATCACATGAAAGACTGAATAAGTGTTTTATATTGTTTCTCTCCTTAAAAGGTATGAAATAATCCTGTTTTGTGAACTGTCAGTATGGGTTTGATCAGGTGGGGATCAGTATGTTCTGCAGTCAGTCAGTTATTAGTTCTCAATAATGATTCAAAGACTCCTTTTAACATGAGTTCCCATTTTCCCCAGACTAATTTTGACTCTCAGTGTGTCCCATAAATTAACTCTGAAACCATCTTCAAAGGAGTCAAATCTTAGGCCTCTGAAAACCTTGGGCACCTAGTAGGTGAATTAGTACATGGGAAGCATAATTCAAGTTAGTCAACTCTGATCTGCCAGGACAGGTATCACTAGTTCCATTGTCTTAATGTAGGACATGGCAGCCAAGCAGCCACTCATCAACTTTCTCCTTTTATTTTTATTATTATTGTGTCTGTGTTTGTGAGTGTGCCTATGGAGAACAAAAGAGGGCATCAGATCCCCTGGAGCTGGCAGTTACAGGTGGTTGTGAGCCACCTGACATGGGTATTGGGAACCAAACTGGTCCTCCGCAAATACAGCAAACAAATACTCTTCTGAATCGTACCTTCTGTTTCTCAACTTTTCTCCTTAAATAAATGTCTGTCAAAGAAGGTACTTGAGGGCCTGCCAGATGACTCAGCAGGTAAAGGTGCCTACTGCCACATCTAATAGCTTAAGTTTAGTGCCTGAGACCCATATGGTAGAAGAGAACTGGTAACCATACTTGTCTTCTACCTTAATTGGGGTTTCTATTGCTGCAATAAAACACCATACCAAAAGCAATTTTGGGGGGATTTATTTTGCTTACACTTCCATACCAGTCTATCATTGAAGAAAGTTAGGGCAGGAACCTGGAGGCAGAAATTGAAACAGAAGCTATAGAGAAGTTTAAGTTACTGGCTTGTTCCTCATGGCTTTCTCAACCTGCTTGTTTTTTTAGCACCTAGAACCAACAGCACCTACATTGAATCAGGCCTTCTAATGTCAATGAAAAATGCACCACCAGCTTGCCCACAGACGGATCTGGTGGTAGTATTTTCTCAACTGAGGTTCCCTCTTCCCAAATGACTCTAGCTTGTGTCAAATTGACATAAAACTAGCCAGCACATCCTCTGACCTCCACGTGCATGCTGTGGCATAGAAGGGACACACACACACACACACACACACACACACACACACACAAACTAAATAGTATAATTCAAGATTAGGGAAGAAGTTGGCTCTCCCGTGGAGTTGTCTGTACTAGGCTAAGCAGGTATCCAGTTGCTGATTAAAGGGACAGAAGTCAGCATAAAGCACTTCCTTCATGCTCATTGCATGCTGTCCTGGTTAGGTTTTGTTTTGGCAGATTGTAGGCAAGTCTATGGGACGCTTTTCTTGATTAATGATTGATGTGGGAAGGCCCAGCCTACCGTGGGCAGTGCCACCTCTGTACAGGTGGTCCTGAGTTGTATAAGAAAGGAAATCGAGCAAGCCAATAAGCAGGGTTCCTCCATGGCTTCTACTTCAGTTCCTGTCCTGACTTGCCCCAGTAAAGGAGTGTGACCTGAGAGCTGTAAGAAGAAATAAACCCTTTCCTATGCCAAGTTGCTTTTGGTCATGGTGTTTATTTATTTATTTATTTATTTATTTTTAGTAATAGATATTCTAACACACATGGGTGATATTGTGATTCTCCTTTCCATGATGAATATTCTCTTACCTATTTTAAAAACTGTGTTTGTGTTCAGCCATGTGCATATGTCTATGTGGAGGGCAGATATTCTTCAGGAACTATCCACCTTAGTGGGTTGTTTGAGATGGGGGAAATCTCTTATAAGCTTAGGGCTCACTAATTCACTAGGCTTGCTGATTAGCAAGCCACAGGAATACTCTTATCTTTCCAACACTGGGATTATAACTGTCACTAACCAGATTCTGGGGAATGAACTGGTCTTCATGCTTGTATAGCAAGAACTTTCGCTGACTGAGCTATCTCCTCACCCCAATGGTATCTGTATCACTCTCTATATAGTTATACGTACTTATTTTGTATGTGTATCTATATGTGCCATGACAAGTATGTGGAAGTCAGACAACTTACTGAGCTGGTTCTCTTCCCCACATTGGGTCCTGGGGTTCAAACTCAGGTCTTCAGGCTTGGCAGCAAGTGCCTTTACCCATGGAGCCATCTCGATAGTTCATTATATTTAATTTTTTTAGCTGCTGTATTTATGACATATAAAAATGTATAATGAATCTGTGTGGTAGTGGCACATGCCTCTAATTGCAGCATTCTGGAGGCAGAGGCAGGCAGATCTCTATGAATTTGGGGCCAGCCTGGTCTACAAAGCTACACAGTCAAACTGGGTCTTGAAAAACTGCTCAAAAAAATGTAGAATGAATATAGCAAAATACCATGCTTCAGAAATAAAAATTTGCCAGCTGATTTTTTTGGTTTTATCAAGACAGAGTTTCTCTGTGTTTGCCCTAGTTGTCTTGGAACTTGCTTTGCAGACCAGGCTGGCCTCAAACTCACAGATCCACCTGCCTCTGTCTCCAGAGCACTGGGATTAAAGGTGCTGCCTAACCTCAAGAAAATTATTTTACATTACACTATAAAGCCAGTCTTTGTGGAACTGAGGCCTACATGCCAACTCTGGGTAGTATCTGAACTGAATTGCAAAGCATTTATTGTTTTAGTATGGTTTCCCACTACCACACTGGGTGTCAGAAGTGATGAAAAGAGATCAGTGCTATATAGTTGCTTTTCGTTCAGTACAAGGTTAAGTCTGTTTCATATCTTACCCTCATCATGGGCAGTTCATACCTCAAAGATTATGGTAAGGATTAAACAAGAGGTCTGTAAGATGTGATCAATATCCAGTTGGTACTTTCTAAACATTAGTTCCTGGGTGACTGTATACTGTGCTGCACTTGTGTTTCTGAGGGTGAATCAGATTCTATCTAGTCTACAACCCAAAGAGAAGATGTGATAGCATCAAAACACCAGCATAAGTGGGGCGGAGTGTCGAGCACCTTTAATCCCAGCACCTGGGAGACAGAAGCAGGTGGATCTCTGGGAGCTCCAGGGCAGCCAGGTCTACATAGTGAGTTCCAGCACAGCAAAGGCTGTGTAGAGACCCTGTCTCAAAAAAAAAATAGAGTAGAACAAGCAACAGAAAGAATAATAAAAGAGAAACTTATCCCTCAAAAAAACCCAAACAAACAAACAAAAAAAAAAACGAAAAAAAACCCCACAACAAAAAACAAAAACCAAACAACAAAACCCACAGCGTAACTGGTTTGAAGAAAAGCTGACAGTTGAGGGTGAGTGAAGAATGACTAAGCAGGGCAGGCTAGGAGTGCTATATACTTATCCCACTGACTTGATTATCAAGCAACAAAACAGTATGAATCAATGTAACCACTTATAGCTTTAGAAAGCTATATGCAGGTACTGTCTGCAGCTAAGCTGGAAACACAAACACCACTTTCCTAAGGATGTCTTATAACTAAAGTTTTTGTATACATCTGCTTATCACTCCATGAAAGAAAATGAATGGAAAAGAAAATACTTGAGAAAAGTCACTTTAATTTTCTGATCTGAGCTGACAGACAAGATGGCCCTTTTCAGAGTAAAAAAAAAAAAAAAAAAAAAAAAAAATAACCAGGATAGTTTCACAAAAACTTTAGGAAGTATCAGTTGAAAATAATAATAATAAAAAAAATCACTTCTGAAAGTTTGTAAAAACATGCCTAAAAGGAAAGGGGGGAAAAAAAGAAATGTTCAAGGGAAGAAATACTGAACAAAACCTCTATATTCAGTCTCATTTTAGACACAATAACCAGGCTCTGGAGTCCTCAAGTGTTGTTAAGTTGCTTATACAAACTTAAAGTCATAAGCATCACCTCAGGATCTGCACTCTTTATGTCAAGTGCTTTAACTAAGCAGTTGAGAGCCTCCTGTATCTTCCCACACTCTTTCAGTTCTTTTCCACGAGCTACAAGTGTCTCATAGTCGTTATCAGCCTCCACTGGTGGATCCTGGGGAGAATCAACCAAAGGCTCACTTGACAAAGGTTCAGGCGGACAGGGAGAGCTCTCCAGGGCCAGAGAACTAGGCTCAGACACAGTCAAATTGCTGGGCTTGTTTCCTGAAGCCTGTGTTTCCCCAGAGGGATCCTCTTCTATGTGCACTGAGGCTTCATCACTGCTCTCGTCTTCTGAATGACCTGGAACAGTCTCCTCCTCACTTCTGTTATCAAGCCTTTCCTCTATGTCTTCCATGTCATCTAAAACCACATTGATCAGAGACCTCCTAGAAGCCAGAGATCTCCTAGAATTAAAGGATATATTCACACTGTCAAGTATTTTTGGTGAAAAGAACCTTGCAGATGGATTGGCATCGTTTTTGGGAGTTGAAACATCAAATTGTTTCACAGATGAGAATGGAAAAGGAGAGATGCTAAATGAACTTGTGCCACAAGTACCTTTAGAAGTGTCTTCTTCACCTTCGTCATCTGAGAGGAGCCTTCTAGCTTTGCTTCTGGTTTTTACGCTAATCACTTCTGGTTCTTCATCACTCTTATTAGGAGAATGCAAACTGTGATTAAGTACTGACTCTGCCCTGGAGTTAGCTGCAGGGCTTTGCAAGCTACTTTCTTTCTCAACATGTTCCAAAAACTTGCTGGAGAGACTTTGCCTAGTGCCTGTGGAGTCTTCCAGGAGAAGATTGAAATCACATGCATACTGTGGTGTTGATTCTAAAAGATCCTCTTCCAACTCCAGGGCCTCTTGCCTAGGCGACACTTGTACTGCCTTCTTTTGCTCAGCTTCATTTTCAGCTGCAAAACATTTTGTAGGTCCCAGTAAAGAGTCAATCCAAACTTCTTCTATACTTCCAGCCCCCTGGGGCGAAGTAGCTACAGAACCAGCATCAAATGTACTTTCACAGTGGTGCTGGTCACCTTGCAGCAAAGTAACATCATGTGCCTTGGAGACATCTTGGGGCTCACTCTCTGTAGACTGATCATAAATGCTTATACTAGCCATTTGAGAACTGATATCTTCTATCTGGGTAGGATTAGTTAGAAGGCGTGAAGGTCGAGGCTGGGGTTTGTTCAATTGATGACCTTTCTTCTGTTGAGAAGGAAATGCATATGCTTTGAGCCAGGCTTCCTCGTTTCCAGTTCTTTGTCTTTCCAATGTATTTTGAGATTCAGATTCAACAAGGAATTGAGCCTTCTGAACTCTCTGTTGAATGTATGGAGAGTCTTCTACCGATGCAAGTTCTTCTTTAACAGACAGATCACGGGTGAACATCAAATCATGGTCTGAGATTCCTGCTATGCCCAGTGAGTGTAGGTAGGCAATATGCTCATCTAGTTTCTCATCAGATCTTCGCTGAGCAGCATGCAGAGACTGAAGCTGCATCTGGGTTGCAGAGTTCTGCAGATCCCCAACCGTGAAGAGCTCTCTTAACTCTTGTTTGCTAAAATAGCGGAATGGGTTCTTCTTGTCACCAGTAGTTTGTCTAATTAATGAGTCCTTGAAAACCTGTCTCCTATATATTTTTTCCTCTACAGTTCCACAAGTGATTAGCCGATAAACCACAACATTCTCTTTTTGTCCAATTCGGTAAACTCTATCCACAGCTTGAGCATCAGTTGCAGGGTTCCAACTCGGGTCAAAAATGACCACTCTAGTTGCTGCAGTTAATGTTAGGCCAACACCACCTACTTGAGTGGTAAGTAGAAAAACAGAATATTCTTTATTTTGCTGGAATAACTGGATTCTTTTTTCTCGTTCCCAAAGATGAGTTATTGTGCCATCGATTCGCAATGTTTTAAAGTGCCTATTCGTTAAGAGGCGCTCAATGATATTGAGAATTTGTCTTGACTGAGAAAACACCAGAGTTTGATGTCCTTCATCTTGAAGTCTCTCTAGCAGGGCCATTAAGAATATCATTTTTCCAGATTCCTGCATCAATGCACCGTCAGTTAAGTTGTCAATGCTCTCCACATCTGAGGCAACTTCTTGCTTATTTTCATCCTGAGCCGAGAATGTGGCAGTCTCTAGATTCAGCAAATGACAAACTCGTGCAGATAGCAGCCTAGGGTGGTCACAGAGTTTCTTTAATACACCCAGCTCAGCCAGAGGTGAGCGTGTCTCCATTAGTAACTCCTTGATGTGATCTAAAGACACGAACTTCCTATAAATCTCTTCTTGTAAAGGCACAAGACGTATCCAAACAATGAAATCATTTTTCCTGGTAAGAGAAGGCATCACACAAACGGCTTCAACACCTGGATTCTTTTCACTAAGTCTGGCCTCTGGGTTGTCTGCCTTTTTTGTCTGCACTTCTTCTTTGGTCCTCCTGAGAAAATAGGGTTTTATGATTTCCATTAAATTTTCAGATATCTTAAGTCCCAAGGCTTTTTCCCCAGGGGTGGCATCCTTCTCTCTTGCTCTAATAATAGGATTTTCATACTCCATTTTAAAAGTTTTTAGTGTTCCTAACAAGGAGCCTTGGCAAGCAAAATCAAATAGGGACCACAGTTCTTGCAAATTATTCTGGATTGGTGTTCCTGTGAGAAGAAGGCGATTACTTGCAGGAACAGCACGAGCACATATTGCTGACTTGGTTGTGGCACTTTTGATCTTATGAGCTTCATCAAGAATGACATAGTCCCATATAAATGCTTGTCCATTAAAGCTTGCAATTTGCTGCCAGTTATTGATTAGCATTTGGTAGGTAGTGATAATGACGCCATTCCTTTGTTGAATCCGTGTCAGGTTTCTACTACGTTCATCCTTGCTGGAGCCATGGAAGGTTTTGACTCTCATTCCTGGGGTCCACTTGGCAAATTCTTTGACCCATGTATTAATAAGATTGGTTGGCATGATCAACAGCACATGATTCACAAGTGAAGCATCAAACATACCAGACAGGAAAGCAATGATCTGAACAGTCTTTCCAAGTCCCATATCATCTGCTAAGATGCCTCCTTTTCTTCCATCCTTATACAGTCTATAGAGGAAGGCAATGCCTTCTTTCTGGTGCACAAAGAGTTTCTCATACAGCTCTCGATAAAGCAGCAAGCCAGAGTTGCAAACATCTATAAATTCATCATCTTCTTCTTCTTCTGCCAACTGCTCCAAAGCTTCCTGTAGTTTTTGGATTCTGCTGACCACCTTTTTGGTGGGAAAAATGTCCTTTGCCAAATGGAAAAGTTTCAATGCTTCTTCCAGATCTCCATTCTTAGCTGCTTCTTTGGCTTCTTGCACATATCTATTTAAAAACAAGGTAAAGAAATAAGATATGGGACTAGTGATGTAGCTCAAGTGGTAGAATATTTGCTTGGCATAAATGAGCCTCTGGGGTCAATTCCCAATATAGGAGAGGGAAGGGAACAGAAAGAAACAGACTGAACATTCTATGAAAGCTTCAGAGCCCATTTTGTAATCCAGTCTGTACTTGGGCTTTTTTAAAAAGACAATTTCAAGTACCCCATGCAGTTCTTCTTAAACTCACTATATCCCCAAGGATGACTCATTTCCTGACCTCTAACCTACCTCACGAGTGCTGGGAAATATAGGCATGTGCTATGTCTAATTTTATGTGTGGTGCTGGGTGTTGAACTCAGGGCTTTGTGCATGCTAGGCAAGCATTTTACCACTGAAGTTCATGCAGACCTATAACTAAGTTGGATTTCGAAAGTCCTTAATTCAGGGTGGCAGAGATTAGCACAGAAAAAAATACACACTTGTACTCCTAGCACTTCAGAAGCTAAGACAAGAGGATCAAGAGTTCCAGGTCAGAGCTGGTAAGATGGCTCAATGGGTAGAGGATTGCTACCAAGCCTGATGACTGAGTTTGAACTCTGAAACCCACATGGTGGGGGGAGAGAACTGACTTCTTTGGGTTGTCCTCTGCCCCAAAAACATGTTGTGTCATGTGCATCTACCCATCTATATCAATATAGATAGGTAGGTAGGTAGATAAGATATAAAAATTCCTTTTAAATTTTAGGCCAGCCTGGGCTATAGTTAAGGCCCTGCCTCAAAACAAACAAAAAGAAGACATACACTTGGACATGTTAGTGTGTGCCTATGATCTCAAAACTTGGAATGTAATTAAGACAGGATTAGAAATTTAAGGCCAGCTCAGCCACACAGCAAATCTGACACCAACCTGAGTTACATGAAAATCTATTTCAAAAAACATAATGGACAATGGATTGAAATGCAAACTCCATTCTGGCTCAGCAAGCTAGCTCAGCCAGTAAAACACTTTCAGCACAGGCCTTACAACCTGCATACTCTCTGGAAGCCATTATAGAAGGAAGTCCCCAGAGCGGTCCTCTAACCTCTCTGCGCACACGCACATGCACACACAATATAGCATAAGTAAAAAATTAAAAGAAGCTCCATCTCACTCAACTTAAAATAACTAAGACAAATGCTAGCAAGAAAGCAAGAATTTCAGGGTAGGGAGCAATCTTTACATTCTGTTGAAAATGTGCGTTACTACAGCCTCTATGGAAGACAAGATGGAGATTCCTCAAAAATGAGAAAAAAACACTTTATAGAACTGGGTGTGGTGGTGCAAACTTTTAATCCAAGCTCTCTGAAGGCAGAGACAAACAGATCTCTGTGAGTTCAAGGCCAACCTGGTCTACAAAGCAAGCTCCAGGACAGAGAAACACTGTCTTGAAAAACTAAAAACAAAAATAAACAAAACCCCCCAAACACAAAAAAACCAAATAAAAGGTAAATAAGAACAAAAAAGGTACTCTGTAGCCAGGCATTGGTGGCACATGCCTTTAATCTCAGCACTCAGGAGGCAGAGGCAGGTGGATCTCTGTGAGTTCAAGCTAGCCTGGTCTACAGAGCAAGTTCCAGGACAGGCTCCAAAGCAATACAGAGAAACCCTTTCTCAGAAAAAAAAAAGATACTCTGTGTTAGATATGGGGAAATGCAAGCCAAACTACAATGAGGCACTAGGGCTGGAGAGGTGATGGCTAAACAGTTACGAGTTTCTCTGAAGAGTAATAAATATGTCCTAAAATTAGCTATAGGGAAAAGTGCACAATTATTTGAACACACCACTTTCACAATTATGTGAATATAATGAATGTCACTAAACTGTATAGTATCAATGGGCAAAGTACCTTGCATTAGCAGTCAAATAAGGAGCTAACTCAAAAATTATGGATGGAAGTTTCTGCCCCTCCCAGTCCCACAGCTGTTTAATCCCAAATAAACACAGAGGCTTATATTAATTATAAACTTTTTGGCTAATGGCTTAGGCTTCTTATTGGCTAGCTCTCTCTTAATTATTAACCCATTTCTAATAATCTGTTTATCTCCATGCAGTCTTGGTTTACCAGTGAAGCCCCGACCTTTTGCTTCCTTGGCAGCTACATGACAGCTCCTTGACTCCTTCTACCTTTATCCCTGTTTGGATTTCCCATCTGGCTAAATCCTGCTTGTCTATTAGCCAAAACAGCTTTATTCATCAACCAGTAAGAGAAACATATTCACAGCATACAGGACAACCCCCATCAAAAAACATCTCAGGTAGACCCATAGTCTACAAAGTTGAAGCTGCTTAATCTGGCATTACAAGTCCTCTCTGACATAGCCAGGAACCTACAACTCCTCTGCCTTTACTAGTCACTTCCTACCTTACACATTTTTGTTTTAGAGACAGGGTATTTCTATGTAGCCCTGGCTATTCTAGAACTCACTAAGTAGACTCAACCAGACTAGACTGGCCTTGATCTCAAAGGTCTGCCTGCTCCTGACTTCTGTGTGCTGTGATCAAAGATCTGCACCATCAGGACTGGCCCTTCTACCTTCCAGATTTTATTCTAAGCCTCTATACTCATTATGCCTCTCTGTGTCCTCTAAGTACAGGCTCACTCCACCACCCTCTTCCTAGAACACCCTCCTCTTTCGCTACACTAATTTCACCTCACTCATCTTTTTAAAGATTTTCATTGTCAGGTGTGATTCCAGTGGAGGAAGGGACATCATTAGCTCAAAGTCAGGCTGAGCTCCATACTGTCTCAAAAGAGTAAAAACAAAACAAAACAAAAAACCACTGATTCTCAGGCTGGTGATATAACTTGGTGGTAGAGCACTTACCTAACATTCACAAAGCCCTAGGTGCAATTTCTAGTACAACAAAGAAAATTAAAGACAATGATGCTCAATTTTCTATAAACTTTCTTGAGACGGGGCATAAAAGACACAAATCTCTGGGCTTCAGCATCAATTTTTCTAAGTCTGTATTGGGTTGTAAGAATTCACAGATAAAGAAAAGTATCCAGGTTATTGACACTAATGCTTTTCACCCAGAGGCCACACACATATATTTATATGCAGATATTACTAAGAAGAAAATCACTAGGCATGGTGGTACACACCTTTAATTCTAGCACTAGGAGGCAGAAGCAGACTCATCTGAATTTGAGACCAGCTTGATCTACACAGCAGTTCCAAGACAACCAGGGCCACATAAATACTGGCTCAAAAAAAAAAAAAAAAAAAGAGGAAAAGGAAGGAAATCATGTTATTTGCAAATAGATGGTACTAAAATTCATTTTAAATATGGCTAATAGGGAGATACACACACACACCCACACACACCCACACACACACACACACACATATATATATATGTGTGTGTGTATATATATATATTAAAATGTCATTAGGAAACCCACTATTTTATATAATTAAGACACACCAGTAAAACGTTTTGTAAAAAGGTACAGTTCAGGCCTCACTTAAGGTTTCTTTCTTAACCCATGCCCGGGGAGGATCTGTTATTTTGTCTCAATATTTGTACTTAGTGTATCTTAGTGAACTATTGCTATGATGAAACACCATGACCAAAAACAACTTGGAGATGAAAGGGTTTATTTGGTTTATACCTCTGTATGTTGTTCATCATCAAAACAAGTTAGGACAGGAACTCAAACAAGGCAGGAACCTGGACACAGGGGCTGATACAGAGGCCTTGGAGGAATGCTGCTCACTGGCTTACATTGTTATAGAACCCAGGACCACCTGCCCAGGGATAACACCACCCACAGTGGGCTGGGCTCTCCCCCATCATACATTAAGAAAATGCTCTACAGTTTGGCTACAGCCTGATCTTACATAGGCATTTATTTGAGGTTCCCTCCTCTCAGTGACAAGCTTGTATCAAGTTGACATAAAACTGCTTAGTACACAGTGCATTTATATAATGCCTCAGTGTATTAAAATCATCACAGGGGACTCAGTGATTAAGAGACCTCTCTTGGCCGGGCAGTGGTGGTGCATGCCTTTAAACCCAGCACTGTGCAGGCAGAGGCAGGTTGATCTCTGTGAGTTCAAGACCAGCTTGGTCTACAAGAGCTAGTTTCAGGACAGTCTCCTCCAAAGCCTCAGAGAAACCCTGTCTTTAAAAACAGAGAGAGAAAAAGAGAGAGAGAGAGCTCTCTTGGCAGAGATCATGGGTTCAATTCTGACTGTAACTCCAATATACACATTGAGTTCCAGAATAGCAAGATCTACATGGAAAGAATCTATTTCCAAAACATAGCAAAAATGTATAAGGTAGGAAGTGACTGCCAGAGGCTCCTGGATGTGCACGGTGCATATATATATATTATTCCACACTGTTGTGGAATATTATTTTAACTAGGCAAAGATGTGTTATATTTGTTTATGCTATGTGATGGGATGTTACATTTGTTTATTCTGTCTCTGTTAATTGTGTAAAGATGTGCTGCATTTGTTTCACCTTGCCTGCCTAAGGCACCTGATTGGTCTAATAAGGAGCTAACAGGCAATAGCTACACAGGAGAGGGATAGGCAGGGCTGGTGGGCAGAGAGAATAAGTAGGAGAAATCTAGGCTTGAGAGAGGAGAGAAGACAATAAGGGAGGAAGAGGGACATGCCTGGGGCCAGAAAAGAGGCAGCCATCAGCCAGACAGACACAGTGACAGAAGAAAAGAAAGGTAAAAAGCTCTGAGGCAAAACATAGATGAAGAGAAACAAGTTAAGTTATAAGACTAGAAAGAAATGAGCCCTAGCTATGGCCGAGCTTTCATAAATAATAAGTTTCCATGTCAAGATTAGGAAGCTGGTTGGTGGCCCAAAAGAAAAAGCCTGGTACAACACACACATAAAATAAAATGTTTTAAACTTGCCAACAGGCTGTGAAGACAGTTCAGCCAGAACAGTGCTTGCTGTACAAGCATGAAAACCTAAGTCTGTTCCTCAATACCCATG